AATTGTCAACTCATATAGCCCCTGATTGATTAGGACAGCCAGGGTCAGTTTCTGATGCTTCCAAACTAAAGAGTGTATATTGCTACCAAATCCAAGAGTTCAATCTCCACCAAGAAGCGCCTGCAAATAGGAACTGTTAGGCCATCAGGACACTTGCTTCCTCTCTCCTCTCTGCTCTGTGCTCAGCTGCTTGAACCTTCTTTCTCTCTGAAAACTTCCTTCCTCTGTGGCTTCAGTTATGTGGGGGGCAAAAGGCAGTCCCCCCATAACTTCTGATCCAGAGACCACTTTACACTGACGAATGGGCTACTTCCCAAACTCCAAATCAACGCTTCTAACTAAGAATCCGAATGACCCACTTGGGTCAATTGTCCACTCCTCCTGATGAATGCATGGCCAGAATCCACAGTCGTGTGCCATCATGCCTGCCTTGGGCTCGGGCCTGTGGGGTGAGGGAGCAAAGCCGGTTCCATACAACGGGTCAGAGATGTTCCCCTTCACAGGCTGGGCAAACACTGCTGAAGAAGTGGCTTCATTCAAGATGTCATCGTCACCGTTATAATGATTGTTTTCTGTGATCTCCCTGCTCCAAAATGCAACCCCAGGGAACTTCTCTGCCTTCTCACTTCTACCTCCAGCTGCCCCATGTTCCTCCTAATCCTTTGACGTCTTCATCAATGCATGTTTAATCCCTTCCTGCTTTTCTAGAGCTTCCCCGTCTGCAACTTGTGCCCCTGGAAGCATTTCACCTGCCTTTATCGTGGTTTTTAACAGGGCTCACTTTTCTGTCTTTCGACAGGGGCTTCCTTGAGCCGTGTTTCTGGCAGGCTCTGCACCGAGTTGTGGTCCCTGCCTGGTACCTGGCATGTGCCCTCTCTGTGTTTCATCAGGTCCTTAGTCAACGGAGACCATAAAACCCACTGGTAAATAAAATAGTGGGCTTGGTCTTTTGTGCCTTCATTTCATTGTCCTAATTAAAATGTCCTGGTTCATTTTACCTGATCCAGAAAAACAGAATTGGCCTATTTCTATCTCCTGAACCATAGACATTAAGGTAGCAGAGGGACATAAAAGAATATTATAGTTGGGGATCAAAGGGAGAAGCACTTGATACTGGTACAAGTAGTTCTCAAACATTTGAAGTTCACATCCCAGTAAATATTTTAAAATGTGGTATTATCAGAGAGATGCCAACTTATTTTGCTAAGGAAAGATATGAAACCAAAGCCTAACTCTAAAATCAACAACATAAAAAGCAAAGACTTTACCAAAAAAGAAATAAGGGGTGGGAGAGAGAGAGAGAGAGAGAGAGAGAGAGAGAGAGGAAGAAAGAGGGAGGGAGGGAGAGAAAGAAAAGGGCAGGAAAGAACAGAATAAAAAACAATCCTTCCCAATAAAGTAGTGCTGATAAAATTGTTCCAACTTTTTAAAATCCCAGGACACAGAAGCCATAGACCTCCCATCAACCCTTTGCGGCAAACCTGTCTTTGGGATCCACGCCAGTACACAGTTTACCTTTCCAGAGTATAGAGTTTAAAGTGGAGCCAAAGGTAACATCACTTCATTAGAATTCTTCTTTCGTGAAGCCTAGGTTTTCTACAGAAGTGAGGCCATGTTCTCCCCTAGGCGTGTGGCATTCTCCTGTGCCGTGAGGTTCTACCCAGAAGCAAATGAAGTCTTATGTGACCTCCTTCTCATCCGCCAGGCCCTCCCTCTGCTAAGTGGTACCTCTACGACCACCCACATGCATGGCATTAATATCCTTTTCACCATGTGGAAGCCAAGCCTGGAAAAGGTAATGTCAGCTGTCTTCAGTCAACAGAAGCTGACAAATTCTGGAGCTGGGAGTTGAACCCGAGGACATCTGATGCCCAAGTCCACTTTCCAAACCATCACTTTTCTCCTTTCGGATTCAAACAAGGATTTTGACACCCAAGAGACACACACATTCTAGTTTTAGAGAAAAGTTCTTTGATGAAACAACTCATTTTCTTTCAGACTCCAGACTTGGGGCTTCAGCAAACATTTACAGCCCCGACGCCTGAGTCATGGATGTCATCTTGCTGAAGAGCAAAATATCTGAGTCACTTGGGCTTCAAGTAGAAAAAAAAAAAACCTATGAGGAGCTTTATTTGTGATTGAATGGTTTTGAAATCAAGTCACAAGTTGGGACATGAGGCTAACATTTATTTATGCTGGCAAGATAAACCGATGGAGTTACATAAGTAAAAGTGAATGGGTTGACACCCCCGGGGACATTGTTCATAAGGAAAACATTATGGACTCATTGATCACAAGACTCCAGAATAGGACAGGGGAGGCTGCTTGCTGCATGCCACAAAATGGCTATTTATCTCGAGGAGGAAAATGGAATTCCCTCCGTCCCCCTCTTCAGATCCCTCTCAAAGCCTGAATTTCATTCCTCTACATTCACTTGTAGCCTTAGCCACCTGTAGGGGGAGCGCTTGTTGAGTTCCCTGAGTAGAGAGACTTTTCTGCCCTTCAACACACCCACCGACCTTCTACAAATGCTTCAAATTCCCTTACCAAAGACAAAAGGACTCTTCTAGAGTTTTCTTGTTTCAGAGTTGTTCGCTGGGCCCATTTCATGAATATGGACTAACAACCAGATAACCGTTTCCATTCCTGCTGGAGTCTACTCACCCTGCCCGCGGAGGTCCTGTCCACCAGCTCCTTTCAGGGGCTGGCCTCCTACTGCAGCGCGTGCTTGGGGTTCATATTTAAGCTCTGGCAAAACACAACCTTCCACGAGGGAAGAATACAACCAGGAGTCAGCCACCGGAAGAGGTACCCTCACCCAGCCATGTTGGCACCCTGATTGCAGCCTGCCAGCCTCCACGGCTGTGAGAAATAAATTTCTGTTGTTTATAAGCCAACCCCCCCCCAAAAAAAAAACACCTCCATAAAGCTTCATCTATGTCAATAGCCATAATAAGATATGTCAAGGCAGGCTCTTGACTTACAGGAGCAAAACAGAAAGTACCATGGGTCCAATAGAATTAGTAATAATAATCTTGTCATGGAATTTCCCTGGTTTTCACCCTGATGAATTAGCCAAGTTGTATCATGCAAGAAAGCCTAGAACAGGTATCTATATTGATGATATAATTTTAAAAGTTAATTGTGAAATATAGAGGGTACCAGAAGAACTTTTCCAAATCAATGGAGTTTTTTTCATTAGGCAGCTTCGCCTAGCTCTTTATCTTCCAAAATTGTTATTAATAACTTCCTGAGTATTTACCATGTAACACATGCTGTTCAAATATTAACTGATTTAATTTATTCTCTCCCTTTTCCTGTGGAGATGCTCGGTGACTTTAAAGAGGGCACAGCTTTCTCTTCCAGACCTCCATCTTCCCAGACATGGTGAAAAAAAGAAAAGCAGAAATAATGTGCTCCTTCCTTTCTTTTATTTATTTATTTATTTATTTATTTTATAAGCTGAGCCATCCTGCTACCTGTTGGCAGCTCAGCAGCTGCTCAGCTCGGGCTGGGAATCGAACTGCTGTTGCTCAGAGTTCGCACTCTTGAGTGAGCTCTTAACCAACTGAGCCACTCGGCCAGCCCTTAATGTGTTCCTTCCTAATTAAGGTTTGTAATTAAACACATCTTTTGCCAAGGACTGTGTTTTGCTAGAAACCACAGAATCCATCAAATTGAACAAGTACAGCGTAGAACAAGTAAGGCATTTAACTTCTGATATTTTGCAATTTTTGATTTGACGAGTATGTATTGAGTACCTGAACTGATCCTAGCATGGTTAGAAGTACCAAGAATACAGCAGAGAATAACTAAAACAGATGATCTACCTGCCCTCAGGTTGCTGACATCCTGAGGCAAGCTAGAATTCAAGGTACAAAATCATAACTATAGAATATTTTTATAAGAGTAATATTAAAATATATAAGAACCACTATTATTCTCATTTCATAGATGAGGACGACGTGAACCAAATCAGAGTGGAACTAGGCAGCACGGGAGACGCAAACTCAGGTCTGGCTCAAACTCTGCAAGAAACAGGTTTTCTGCCCTCAAATGGAAACTCATACTTACCTGGCAGTATTGTTGGGTGGGTAGAGGTAGTAAAAATACCTGGCTCCTCAGTAAGTCACAATTTGTAGTAATAGTAAAATGACTCATCGACTCGTGTGTACACGCTCTATTATTCATGGCCTTCGAAACGGAACACCCCTTTTAGTGATGAAACTTTTCAAAAGCTCTCCACGTGTAACTGCATTTTGGAGGATTTCAGATATATTTTTCCATCATCTATATAACTTTAACTTGCCAACGTGACTGAATTCTACTCAGAAACGACCAAGCAAGTACAGGAGCCAAACAGATGTGTGTGCAGATCATGGTTAATGGTGTTGCACCTGAGATTTCAAGTCTTCACCTGAACCTTTGTGACATAGGCACAGGAACCCCCAATTTTATGAATAAGGAAGCTACACTCAGAGGGGTTAAATAATAACCCGCCCCAGGCCACACAGCTTCAACTCAAGCTGCTATGGGGACCCAAACTGTTGTTTTTGTTAAATAGCATTGCTTCTTCTATGACACACAACTAAAACCCTCCAGGATTTACCAACAACTTCTTCCTCAGAAAACAAAGGATGTATTGATGTGGATTGTTCTTTTTTCACTTGAGAATGAGGAAAAAATCTATAATCAATTGCCTATTATTTGCTCTGTTGGGGTCTGGCCAGGGTAAACAGCACTGTGTCATATGCTCTAGGAGAGACAAAAACAAGGAGACAAAAATAGAATTTCAAGGTTTCTGTGTAATTAGGCAGAGAACCCCAAGACCCATGTAATAGAGACGATGACCTGAACTATTTGAGAGCTCAATTCCTGTAGTTCATAATGACATCAACAGTAACATTTTAGAGCCTTTCCTATATGTCAGGGACTTTCAATGCTTTGTCAACTGCAGAAAAACCCTTCTGGGTGGGTACTCTTGTGATCACCGCTTTGAGATGAAGTACCCGAGGCTTACAGAGATCGGTAAGTTAGCCCTGGTTTTTCTGGCTACTATTTCTTTGCTAATCTTCCTTTGGCTTTATCCAGTTACGCAGTTTCCTGAGTCAAAATGACAACATTAAGTTGAACACAGAGTATAATAGTCGAGACATCTAAGTTGCCTCTCTCGTATATAGTTTGCAAAAACCAAGGTGTGTGCCAATACAGTCATGCCATGAAATAGTGTTCACTGAGCACATCACCGTGTAAAGAACTGTCGGCATGTTATTCCCACAGCAACCGCATGCAATCGGCTATTCTTATTCTCCTCTTCCCATGAACTTTGAGCTTTACTGTGAGTTTGGTTCCAACACTGTCCATTCGACAGCTGTGGAAAGTAAGTCCCCCAAGTTTCCATAATCAGAAGGCGGGCCTAGGACTCACACCCAAGCTTAGCCAAAGCTTGGAAGCACAAAACTATATTCCTATTTGATATATAGGAAAGAGTGTGTGTTGTTCAGCACAGAGAAAGCAGCCGTTGCCCGTCGAAGGACTCTGCCACCCCACCATCATCACACACATAAATGCATACACGCTTTGTCATCTGTGGTTGCTTGGTGTGAGGGCTGGAGTATAATTATCCATTCAGGACTTGGTAAGACTTCCCAGAAGCAAACAGAGAGCCTGGGTCTGTGTCAGTAATGATGGTGGGCACTTATGAGGCACTTCAAGCTCTCTCATTAGTAATTCCCAGCAGGATCCCTGTCAGGATGAGTCACAGACACCAAGTAATAAGGGAGGGAAGTGGCCAAGTGAGGAAGGGTGAGCTCTGGGACCCGGCTCCAAGCCGTCGTTGTGAATTTAGCTGAACCTGGTCAAAGATGGGTGGGTTGAGGTCTTGCTTTCTTCTGTAATTCCGTATGAAAATGAGTGGGGGCTTTCTCCACTGGACAAGAGAAACCCATGTCCCTCAAATAGGAATTGTCTTGCTGGCTATGATGAGACTAATGACTGCCTGAACTTCCATGTATCCACTTGGCGTTTATAAAGCAACATAATGCTAATCTCGTATGGAAACTCAGCAAATCTGAAATTATTTCCCTTTCTTTCTGGGCACACCTGCGGGGGGGGGGAGAGAGAGAGAGAGAGAGAGAAAGAGAGAGAGAGAGAGAAGGAAATGACAAAGGGTTACAACTCAGTAGGTGGCATAACAATAGGAGTCACAATTTTTATTTATTTATTTTTTTAATTGGGGAACAGCCATGGTCATTGGTTACACATTGCTTTCATGCTACAATGGCATAGTTGACTCTTTTAAGAGGGCGCAGCTCACAGTGCCCCATGGGGGGACTGAACCGGCAACCTTGGTGTTGTCAGCACCACGCTTTAACCAACTGAGCTAACCGGTCACCCAGGAGTTAGGATTTATTGAGCATTTATTATGTGCCAAGCACAATGTCAGAAGCAAAGCACATAGCGGTGAACTAAATGGATCCTTTCCTTGGGGCTATTCTTTTTCAGCACCATGAGCACATAAAACCACATTTCCATCCACTACACAGTCCCACACATGCTGATCCCACCTGACTGACCCTTTGGAGATATTCTCATTTAAGGAATATTTCTAATATTCTGAGATAATCCTGGTTTAAGGAAAAGGTGATGTACTATAGCATGATGTATATCAATGTATAGATTACATACCAAGGTTAGAATCAGAAAATCTGGGCCTGAACCCCACATGAGCCAATAGTAAATAAGGTCTGTGACGTTGGGCAAATTATTTAACTCTCTAAGCTTTAGTTTTATTTATTCACTTATTTTCTGTCATTATGCTGAACTAAATGGGAAAATTTGTGTAAAATGTCTAGCTAAGTAGCTGCTTTATCATAAAGCCTAGAAAGCTTTCATTTGTATACTATAGAACATGTTATACAAGATATAGTGCATATTACGTATAGTAGATAGTCTATAGTATATGCTATATAATATGTACTACATACTGTGTATACGTAAATAGATACCTACATAAGTAGATATAGTGCATTATATATAAATTGTATTCATATATAATATACAGCTATTGCTTTTTACTAACATTAACAATAACCCCTCAGGACAAATCTGAAGTGACAGTGTTCAAGCTCAAGCTGGGCTGCAAAAGGTTTTCAAGAAACAAAGAATTTACAAAAAATTCACCAGGAAAGGATTTGCCAACGCTAGGATCAAAAAGACACAGCCAAGAGCCTGAAGAGCCAGACCAGCAAACAGAGCGTCCCTCAGCTCCTCTCTGGCTGGCATGAGAGAACAGGAGCCACTTCGGAATAATCAACAAAAATCTCCAACTTCTCTTCCTGAATTAGTAAAGCGGGTTGCTCTCTTGCCAGCCACAATGACGATAGAAAGTGTGTGTGTGTGTGTGTGTGTGTGTGTGTGTGTGTGTGTGTGTGGCCCCACGCTTGCCTAGGATGCACTTTGTAGGGGCTGTGGGGATGGAANACCACCTGGAACCAGTTACCCTCATGGAACTTAAATGGTAGTGGAGACCAGACAGTAGCCACGTAAACAAACAGAAAGATGTGATCATTTCACATAGCGGTATGGGACATGGAGGAAGCCACCAGGGTGATGTGACAGAGAGATGGGGGAGGGGTCCCGCTCTGAGGATGTCATACTGGAGCTGACACTGGAATGATGAGAAGGAGCCAACCATGGAAAGATCTGGTGGAAGAGCACTCAAGGTAGTGGAAACAGCACATGCAAAGGCCCTGGGGCAGGAAGAGGGATGAAACTGCAGAACTAGCACTTGTGGTTGGGTTGAGATTGGAGAAGTCGAAAGGCCGTGTTAACCAGGAGCCTTAGGAAGGCATTTGGGTTTTATCAATATTATACCTGTGATGGAAAGCTCTTGGGGCATTTGAAGCAAGGGGGTAACTTGATCAAATTTATGTTTTGTAAAGTGGGCTCTGGCTGGTGGGTGGAGAGTGGCATTAGCAGAGCTAGAGAGTGTAAGCAGGAAGGAGGAAGGCTAGCTACGAAATGGGTCTCCTCCACAGAAGTCAAGCCAGGACAGTTTGTGCCCATGAGGTTTCTCAGGCCACTTCCCCTTGATCTAGCCGCTGCAGTTATCCTTACAGGCCTTGGGCTGTCTTACAGGGCTTCGGTGAAAGCTACAGTTATCTGCCTTTTGGACACTCTCTTTGGTACTTGTGGTGAAGGACCCACTGATATGGTTAAATCTGTTTCTGTTTTAGTCCTGGCTATTCTGAAAGTCACATTTAGAAAATCAGAGAAATTTGAAAGTATGTCTTATTTAGCGGCTACACCCTCTTCCTGTTTTGTAAATTGGCCTCTTGTAATAATGCCGTGTACAGTTTATTTGCAGCTGAGGCTGCCAGTCCTGTGACATGAAGAAGCCTGCCTTGGAGACATCTTCTTCCAAAAATAATAAATGCCATGGGCTCCAAATCGCCTTGCACTTTGCTCGTTGACGTGAGTGGCACATGGTACTTAGCAACAGCGCCTTCATGTCTGCAGCAGAAGGACACAATGGCCATTTTTACGGGAATATTTGGTTTCAATTAGCTTAAAAAAGGCCTAAAAAACAAATACTTATGACTACCAGTGGTGAATATTATGAGGCTAAAAGCTACACTGGCTGTTTCCGCCAATATATTTTCTCTTCTCGTTGCCCTTGGAAAGGAAATAAAGGATGCCACTTAAAAGGCCATGAGTCTTTGTCAGAAACTGTGGCTGGTCCCTTGAAGCACTCAACTCAATGCTAGAATGTCTTATTTTGGTGTTGGCACCCTCCTATGAGGGCTCTTTCTTTGCATGTGGCTGAAACCCTGAGTACAGATAATGCTTTTATATTTTTGTGGTAACTTTTTAGGGTGTGGCAAAAAAAAAACCTTTCTTTTAAAATCCAGAAATGCAGTTTCTTGTGCACTAAAACTGTAAAGTTAAAAAAAAAAANTTTAATCGCCAGCTATTCATAAACTCCAGGTTGTGTGACAGTGTTGATTATTTTTATCAACAGGCATCTGCCTGGTGCTCTACGAGAAGAGATTTGGGCTCCTTCAGAAGAATGCAGGGGATGAGGCTTTGAACTTCATCATGGCCATCAAAACAGTAAGCGCCCCCTAGGGGAGAGAGCAGTTTTCCTGACTGATCATTCACAGGACTTCACAAATGTGGGTCACAGTGTTTCCCCAAGAGGGGCACGCACACATATTTCAACGATAGTTAAGCGTTCATTTTAATCGGTGTTGTGTGTTTTCATGCATGGATGTGCCCACATGTGATAATATATGTGATAATAAAGAAATACATGAAATCATTGTTTAGGCAAAGTGAAAGTAGCTATTTCAGTTAAAGGTCAGTTGATTAAAATACTAGTTTTTAAAAGTCCATTTTTAAAATAACATTTTTAAAAGAAAATTTTCAGATTTAAAACTTTCGAACCGTTTAGGTGGTTTGTGGATATAGTAGATGCTGTGAAACTGGTATAGACATGGCTGAGATTAGCTACTATTGAAAATTAAAGTGAATATGAAATTATAGCTGTCCTTTCTGCTTCTTTGTGTTTTTTTTAACATTTAGGTTATAAGAGCAAAATTTTTTTATAAAACACACCCAGCAGAAAATCATCCTAAAGATTATTTTTGCTGTGTCCCTGGGGGGCAGGGGTGGATACTGCTGACAGGACTGGTGTGGAGAGGCCTGGAGGGCTCCTTTGAGTTGCAGCCTTTGGTGGGGTATGGGGGACGGTGTTTAGCATGCTCCTATTCCACAGTCAGAGTTACCTTTGAAAGAAAGAGAAACCGGATCAAAAGGCGTTTGTGTTCCTCACAGATGATGAGCACGTTTGGGAGGATGATGGTCACCCCAGTCGAGCTGCACAAGAGCCTCAACACCAAAGTCTGGCAGGCCCACACGCTGGCCTGGGACACCATTTTCAAATCAGGTAGCGTGGCCTCCCACGCCCGGCCACCCTGCCCCTGGAGCTGCTGGCTGGGGGTCTGGAATGATCTTCCCGGACTGACCACCTTGATCCTTTGATGGAGTGGCTTCTCCTGATTCTTTCAGGCTTTGCAAGCACAAGTTTGGGGGTTGCCCTAAGGTAGACAGATTCTAAGGAAAAGGCAGGAGGTGGCTTTCTGTCCTCTTCCAGAACTAGAAGTGTTTAGAAGCCAGAGCTTTGGAGTCAGAGATACCTGGCTTCGAGTCCCAGCTCTATCCCTGGTGTGGCCGGTTGGCCAAATGTGCCATCTGCTTTTCACCTCAGTTGTCTGGCCTCCAAAATGGGCTAAGAACAACAACAGTAATAGTACGTACCTCAATGCAGCTGTTTCTAGGTCTAACATAGATAACGCGAAAACCTGGCATATGACAATCTCTCAATGGACCAGAGCAATCTCTGCTATATTGTGGCAGGAATCTTAGGTGCTAAGTATTGTTCTGTTATAATAATATATTATATATATTTCACAAATATACACACACAGACACACTCATGTAATTCCCACCCAAAATGCTATAAGGTAGGTCCCTCTCTTAGCCCCGAGTGACAGAACTGAGGCACAAAGAAGTTAAGTAACTTTCTCAAAACTAGTGACCATATGAGCTAGACACCTGAATCCGGGTCCAATTTCCGATTCTGACAGTGGGCCCACATCCTACCTCTATCTCATGATGATCTCTGAGCTCTAAGCTTTTGCTAGTCAAGGTGTGACCTGACCTGCACGCCAGCAGCACAAGCATGACTGGGAGCTTGTCAGTAAGCAGACTTCCAGGCCCACCCTGGGCCCCCGACTCAGAGTCTGAGTTTAAGAAGATGCCCAAGCAATTCTTGTGCACATAAAATTTTGAGAAGCCCTGCTCACCTGCGCACCTATCAGTCCTTGCCATCTCAACTATAAGCCAGTATTAGCTACTTTAACCATGTCAATGTCCCTGAAAAGCTCCTCCTGTTGTTGCAAGGAGGGTTTCCCTTTCATTCTTTTCCTCATCCTAGTATTCAACTGACTTCCTCTCCCTTTTCTCTCCTCTAATAGTCAAATCTTGTGTCAACCAGCAGTTAGAGAAGTACAGTGAGCAGCCTGGCACAGATTTCCTTTGTGACATTTATCACCACAATCGGCTTTCGAAGAAAGAATTGTACGCGGCCGTCACGGAGCTGCAGCTGGCTGCAGTAGAAACGGTAAGTGTGGGCCTGATGTTTCAGTTGCTCACTAAACAGTCTGCAAAATCTTTTTCACGAAGTGTTTTAAATAGTCATTCAACAACGCACACATGCCACGTGGATCGATCGAGCTCTGGCTTAGCACAAAGGAGAAACCCCATCCTAGGTGCCGTGGGAGCCCCAATGCACAGCCTTTGTGCTCGAACATATACTGGAAGGGAAGCTGTCCCAGGGACTCCTATCCTAGTGACAAAACTCCAGAGCAGGACATAAGAGCTGTGACACGCAGGCCAGCTGCTGCAGGAATTCAGAAGCTGTGAAATTCCGCAGACAGAGGGTCTAGAAATTTTAAAAGTGGGAATTATTTTAGGTGGTTGTGCATGCTACCTAACTGGGGGTATCATCTATTGTAGAAATATTGGAATACTCTCTGCCAGTCCCATCATATTTTTACACTGGAAATGTAAACATAGTGAGTTTGGGAAACGTTGATTTCCATTTAAATGAAACGGCTCATTTTAAATAGCAAAATCTTGCCCCTGATGTGGTGGGTACTCCTAGTAGGTACTCGATACAGTCAGACTCCAAACNCTTCGGAATAATCAACAAAAATCTCCAACTTCTCTTCCTGAATTAGTAAAGCGGGTTGCTCTCTTGCCAGCCACAATGACGATAGAAAGTGTGTGATAGAGTGTGTGTGTGTGTGTGTGTGTGTGTGTGTGTGTGTGTGTGTGTGTGGCCCCACGCTTGCCTAGGATGCACTTTGTAGGGGCTGTGGGGATGGAAGGGCCGTGGTGTGGAGCTGCCTGTGCCTATCCTTTGCCCAAGGGGTCCCAGAAAAGGGAGGGGCTGGCGGACGTAGGAGAGGTAGCCCAGCCCAGCCTCACCGGCAGGCCAGGCTTCCACAGCACGTTTCCTAACTGCTGGAAGAGGTAACAACTGTGTTGGGTGCTGACTGTGGGCTATGCTGTACGCACTTTGTCAGTATTAATGCACTAAATCTTCATAACGGCCAGAATGGAGTAGCCAGCGAGGACATTCTGCACATTTAACTGGCCCTCCTTGCCCAAGACCCAGAGGAGAACTCCCCTCTTTGGATGCATTTCAGCAGTCTCAACCCCTCCCCGCCCTGGGAGGCGCAGAAAGTCAACCTTCCTCCCCAAAGCGTTCCGTCCAGGCTAGCATAAGCTAGCTTCCCGGAGGCGCGCGGGCTCTCGGGGCCCCGGCAGGCGTCGACAGCCTTCCCGGGCCCGCACTCGGAGACCTCGCCCGCCCAGCAGCGCGATTGTGCAAGCGCAGGGCTGCAGCCGCGGCCGCCGCGGCCGGCTCTGCCCGCTGGGGGAGGGCAGGGAGGCGCGCTCGGCGCACACCCGGTGAACTCCCGGCACAGCGCGCCACCCCCGGGGGGTTATCTCCGGGGTGGAGTTCGCTGCGCTCCCGCCCGGAGAGCAACGCACGGGTCACCCAAGGCCCGGGCGCCCTCGCTCACCTCGCTGACACCATCCGATTTCCAGCTCCCCACGCCCAACCCCGCCTCACCCGGGTCCCGCGTCCCTCCCGGCCAGGCCAGCCAGGGCCCACACCGCCCCACGCAGCGTGCCTATTGGCCACCCAGCGCCTGCCCTGTCTCCATAAATACTTAGTCCCCGGCGTGGATCATGGACAGCGCCAGGGGGAAACTGCAGCTCCCGTAGCATCTCTCCCACCCGCCCTGACACCTCCGCTTCACGGCTCCAGGCCTGGAAGTCAGACTCGCAGACCCACAGGCAGACCCACCTCCCTTCCCTTCTTTCAAGCGACACCCACCCCTCTCCTGCCCGCCGTCCCGCCCCTGCGGCCAGCGCTCGGCGGGCACCGCGCCCTGAGGGTGCTGCACGGTGCAGCACCGAGCATCCTCGCTTAGGTCCTTTCTGCTCTCTGTGCCTCTTCCGCTCCCTCCATCACACCTGCCGGTCCTCTCGGCCCCTCTTTCCCAGAATCGTCAAGCACCCATCCCGGCCGGCGCCACATCAGCAACCCGCGCTTCGCGGTCCAGGTGCATTCCCACGGGCCCCCGTCTGCCCCGCGGCCATGAGCTCCCCCATCAGCAAGAGTCCTTCCCTGGCCGCCTTCCTACAGCAGCTGCGCTGCCTCGGGCAGCCCCCCAGACCCGTGACATCGACGGCGTGCGCGCCCCCTCGGCCGCGGAAGGTGCCCCTCTGCCCGCTGATGGAACGTGGTGAGGTGCAGAACGCCACTGCGCTGCCCGGCCCCACCAACTGGCCACTGCTGGGCAGCCTGCTGGAAATTCTCTGGAAAGGAGGGCTCAAAAAACAGCACGACGCGCTGGTAAATGCCTCGTCGCGCCCCCATTCCCTCTCCTTTCCCTGCCCTGCGCTCCAAACCCTCCCGGAGGAGCGGGGCGCCGGCGCAGCGTGCGCTCGGGTGTGCTGGCAGCAGCGGTCCCCGGGAGGAAGGAGGCGGGAGGAGGAAGGAACGCTCTTGGGACGACGAGGGATGCACACTGAGCGCGCTCTGTGCCCGGCCGGCTGCAGGCGGAGTACCACAAAAAGTACGGCCAGATTTTCCGCATGAAGTTGGGTTCCTTCGACTCGGTGCACCTGGGCTCGCCATACCTGCTGGAAGCGCTGTACCGCACGGAGAGCGCATATCCCCAGCGGCTGGAGATCAAACCCTGGAAGGCCTATCGCGACTATCGCAAGGAAGGCTACGGGCTTCTGATCCTGTGAGTCCGGGCCGCAGGATGGGGGCCGGCAGCTGGGCCTGATTCGTTTAGAAATGGGCGAGAAGTTCCCTGGTATCTGGCCCTTCTGATGCAGGGAACGCGAAAGCCCTTGTCGGGTGCGGTCGCGAACTCTTGCATAGATGAGAGTGATTTGAGGGACAGCTGCGCTGCGCACTTGTTCTCTATGGCAACTGGGCTGGGGCCATGCCTTTCCATCAAAGAAATGTCAAAAAGCATTATACAAATTGTGGTGTTCCGTCTCTTGGGCGGGAAGAGGTTCTGAAGTCAGAGTGCCAGACAAATGAGTTACACAAACAACGTTATCTCTTAAAATTCCCTGTAATCCCTTCATCCCCTTTGAAGCTCAAACGCCAGAAATGAACTTCCTTTGCTTTCTCGACAATGACCTCCCTCTCTGGAGGGCAGCGGAAAGTTATGACCTAGGTGCCCTTGAAAGGTGGGATGAGGAGGGGTATTAAGGCTGCATTTTAGATAGATAAATGCTTTAATATGATGTTATCCCTCTGCTTTGTCATTTAGCATTTAACAAGTTAGCACTTTTTTTTACCCTCCAATTGTGATGCGTAATGGTTGTATTCTTCAGGATATAATTACCGGAGTTAAAAACCATGTTAAAGAATGGTGCATCACAGGCTGTGTGGTCAGCTACGGGGCAAGTGCAAAGGGGTGCCTGATGGGAACAGGCTTTTTACAACCCCAGTTAATCTCTGACTGTACGTTTTTATTTGGAGGCAAATTTGAGGTAGTTTGTGAATGTGACTTTCAACCTAAGTCAATGGGTTGCAAGAAGACAAGATTTTTCCTCAGACAGATCTGTGTTTCTGGTAAAGGGAATGAATGTTCACGTGTCCACTCTCACTGCTGGGGATTGAGGCACCTGGCCTCCCAGCTCAAGCCCAGCAAGGACACCTCAACAGCCCTGAACCCAAATTATCTGGAGGTCGCCTTCCTGGTGCTTTCTTTGGCTGGGAGGAAAGGTGCTTTCTCCTCCTCTGGTCAAAGCAGCCCCAAATACTCCAATGCTAATAGTCTCTGGACATTTCTTGGCATGATTCTCAGTGTTCACTTCATGATAGAGTTCATGCAGCTGAACAGGTGGAAGTCTCTCTGCTGTTACCTTCCTTTCTTTTCAATTCAATTTGCTCTAAATAGATTTCTGCTTTCCTTCCAGGGAAGGAGAAGACTGGCAGAGGGTCCGGAGTGCCTTTCAAAAGAAACTCATGAAACCAGTGGAGATTATGAAGCTGGACAACAAAATCAATGAGGTTTGCAGGCTAGGGCTGGTTTTCCTGGGTCTCTGTGGGGAGGCAGGGATGTTTGTGGGGTTCACATCAAGGCTACAAAGTGCAGAGACACTCTAGATGATTCAGGACTCTTTACTTTCTTTTCACTCCCTCCCCTATCTTCCTCCCTGCCAAACCCTGATTCCTTCACCCTCTTTTAAAGTGATATCGCAATGAGGGAGCAGTTCTAAGTACAGACTTCGGTAGTACACTGTCTTGGATTTGAACCTTAGCCTTCTACCCCCTCCCTATGTAACCTGACGATACCATTTACGTTCCCTAAGCCTCAGTTTCCCAATCTATAAAACTGGAGTAACAATTCTCACTCCACGGAGCTGTTGTGAGGATTCAATGAAATAATGCTTATAAAATTCCCTGGTAGTGACTTTTGAGCTGGGTTTTGCAGGATGAATAGGAGTCTGCAAGCCTGAGATAGTGGAGAAAGGCATCCAGCCTGCTGAAACTATGGTTTCATGTCGTGGTGGTATGTTTAGAGATAGGACACTCAGAAGTGGGCTTTCTCTGAAACGGTGCTGGACATAAGGTAGGCCTTGACAACATGGCACACGTTTTTGTGCCATGCTAAGGTAGTTAGATATTATCCTTTAGCCAACGGGAGGCCAAAGGGGAAGGAATTTAAGTATATAGTAATCTCTTTTTACTCCCATTCACACTGAGTGTTTATTTCGAACTGAACTTGGAACCACATAAGATTGTATAAGTGAAAGATTGCAAAGTCAGGAGTGTCCAGGGGCCAGGTAATGAATATACATGTATAAGGCAGGCCTGGTAAGGGTTTCGGCCAACAGAATAGTGCCTGCCCTTTCCAGAGGGGACAGCTGCCCCAGCTCCAGCAATTGACTGCCACGTGGGAATGCAGACCTGGTGTTGCCAGATCCTATTATTACTATTACTATTACTATTACTATTACTATTATTATTATTATTATTGCTGTTGTTGTTATTGACAAGTAGTGGAAAATCCATATATTCATGTGAAATCCCTGGTGGTAACTACTTCACAGTACTTTTGAATGCGTATGTGGCAAACTTAACATGCCCATCACTTCCATGGGTAGGCTTGGTAGTTGCACAGACTTTGTTCCAGGCCCCAGCACAGCCACTTCTCAGCTCCATGTTCAAGGGCGAGTGCCTTAGCCTCTGAGCCTCAGGCTTCTCATCTGCTACATAGGAAACAGAGTTATGACAGTACTGCCTACCTCACGAGATTCTTGTGAGGACCAGCGAAGACAATACACTTGGTACAGAGCTTGGCACTTCCTAGGCCTCACTCAGTGCAAGGCACCAGTCATCTACAGCCCTGCTTTAGGAAACTGGCATCTAAAGACCTTACATAACATGTCCAAGGTCACAGAGCTATTTGGTGAGGGAGCTGCCTCCAGAATTTGCAGATTTCCTGGCTCCAAGTTCAACACACTTAACACAATACCCATCAGTAAAGAGATGTTTGCTGGCCCAGATACGGAAGTGGCGAACCTCAGGGTAGTTATAGTGTCACAGACCTTGCAATGTGTGCCCATCAAGGGACACTTGACTGACTTTTCCTCTGTGGTTTAGTCCCCATTCTGATTAGAAGAAATGTTTTCCTTTCTTTAAATTTAGATCAAAAGCTGAAACTTAAGCTTCAGGGTGGCTGCAGGAAAAGCTGAGGAAAGACCCCAGGACAAGGCCGTTAGGGTGTCAGGTGGGCTCCCGGGGAGATATACAATGGGCATTGCCTCAGAGGTAACAACCTTATGGCCCATGAATGTACAAGGTAGTGAACCCCGAAGTTGGTTTACTGAGCTTTAAACATTTGTTTTCCCTCAATGACTGGAATGTGTCTTTTGTGGTTTCTTTCTTTGAAGGTCTTGGCTGATTTTATGGGTAGAATAGATGAGCTCTGTGATGAGAGAGGCCACATCGAAGACTTATACAGCGAACTGAACAAATGGTCATTTGAAAGTAAGTTGTCTTCACAGCCTTGTTCATTTGATTTTGCAAGTGATTCTGAGGATAAAACATGGCTCTGTGGACAAGTCTTCCATAATCATAGACTACTGCTGACTAGGAACGGCCATAGCAGCCTATCTAATGCTTTCAGGCACTGAAGTTATGCTTTGCACTAGGAGTTGTTTGTGTAGTCATTCCACAAACACTTATTGAACACATTCTATGTGCCAGGCACCATGCTAGGGACTAAGGACACGGCAGTGAACAAAATAGGCAACAGCCTTGCTCACATGGAGCTTAGAGCTTAGTAGGGGTGACAACCGATGCGGAAACACACTTTAACATACACTCTGGGGGGAGTGAGGGAGACAGTAAAGCTCAGAAGTGCCTGGCTCGATGAGGCAAGTCTGCTTTGATAAGGAGACATTTGAGATGAGACCTAAAGGAAGGAAGGAGCAAGCCACAGGGTATCTGGGGGGAGATAGTTCCAGGCAGTGGAGACAGGAAGTGCAAATGCCCTGGGGCAGAAGCATGGAGGATGCCTTTGAGGAATTTCATGGGTGCTGGTGAGAGTGGATAACAGGAGGAGAGAGGGGAACGAGGAGCTGAGAAAGATCAAGCGAGGGCCTGGAGGTCCCGGTAAGAACTTTTAGTTTGAGTCAGATGAGAGGCGTGGAAAGCTTCAAACAGAAGAGGGCATGGCCATGTTCTTCAAGGGGCACTCTGGGGATAGGAAGCAGAGCCCTGCCTTCAGGAGCTTGCTATCCAATGTGGGTGCAGCAAGGGAGCAAGGCAGTTTCAGTAGAGCGTGTGAGCACCTGACTAAGGAGGTTTAAGGCCGTGGGAAAATCCCAGAGGGCTGCCTCAGCTGAGTGTGGTCAGGGAAGGCTTCATGGAGGTGGTGCCATCTCAGCCGGGGCCTTGTGGATGAGTAGTAGTTTGCCAGGTGAAAGAGAGGGGAGGAGGAACGTGCCAGGCAGAGGAACAGAGGTTATGTTGAAGGATCAGAAAGACATTCAGAATGACTGGAGCATATCTTGCAAGGGAGGGGCAAGGTCAGGGCAGAGGATGGGAGGAAGGCAGCAGCCAGCTGTGGCAATTTGTATAAAACCAGGGGTGGGGGGTGGGCTTTGAGCCTGCGAGTTCCTGGGAGGGAGAGCAGTGCATGCAGCAGGAGGATGGTGTGGTTTGATCTGATGCAAGGATCACTCTGGCTGCTGGTGTGAGGGATGGGAGAGGGTTCCCCAAGACGGAGGCTTTTGTCCTGACCTATCTATCACCTCTATCAGAACAGCCTCAACTTAAAAGTTATGGACCAGTCACATTAGCACACTACAAAGCTCCACACAAATAGGAAATCCACAGAAGGTGTTATGGGAAAGAGAAGTAGAGTAGAGCGAAGGAATGACTATAGAGGAGAAAAGAGGCGTATGTTTTGGAAGTTGTCCAGTGTAGATACCCAAATTAAGGAGTTTCAAATGCGATGCTTTGCAAGTCAATGAAAACCTGACTGCGGTGGTTTAAAAATTCCTGTCTCGCATTACGAGAAGTCTAGAGGAAAGCAGTCCACAGCTGGCACTCTGTGTCATTGGGAGCCCGGGTTCATTGTGTCTCCTTGCTCATGCGTCCTGAGCTTGTTGGCTTGTTGCACAGTGGCTACTGCCCCTCCTGGCCTCACCTCACATTTTAGGCAAAAACAAGAAGGAAAGAAGGTACTGGTCACCCTTTAACAAGAAAGCAAAAA